GTGCCTCGAGTGTGCAGCGGAGGCGAACGAGCGCTTCAAGTCACGCCACACGTGAGACATGAGCGCTATGTGGCAGTTATTTTGAAAAACGAAGCGCGAGGCTCTGAGACGGGCGTGCGCGCCCGTCTCAAGGTTGATAAGATGTAGTACGCAAGGCAACGGGTAGGTGCCACCACCGCGTCGTCTTAGCGAAGCGTTGGAAGCACTTGTATTATCGTGCAAGCGTTGCATGGTCAGCGCCGCTTGATAAACGCTATATACGGTCCTCAGAATTACTTATGTATCCTTTTCTAGTAAAAAGACACAAATACCGAATATTGATGTGTTGTGTGGTGTCTCTAATATGCGCAATGATTGCTTTTTAATTGGCAATCGCACAAGCGAGAACGCTGGATCATCAGCAACATTGGTGGGCCCTACGGATGGGGTAGGGCCGTTGGGAGTATCGGCTGGTGTCGTTTAGAGTACCCAGTACCGTTAAAGGTGGACAAACAGACAGACCAAAATATTTTGCGTCGAAGGTCCCCAAGAAAGACTATCGTCTTTATAAATGTTAGGAGTTATTGCAACATGCAGTGGAGAGTGCAAGCGCGCAAATCACCCGATAGCTGAGTATCCTATCATGGCGGCACCTGAGTGGGTTATAGGTTCTAATATATATATATTCTTGCAACCACTTTATCTATTTCTATGGCCAAAAACTACTAATAATTCGAACGCGTTGGTATGGAGAGCGGTTGCTTCGAACTGGGAGTCACTTATTTTCATCGCTCCTCGTAGAAGTCGACCCAGAGTGATCACAACGTTTTGCATAACCAAACGAAATTTACTACGGATGCAAAACAACGAAGCAGAAGCGTTTCTCAACCAGGGCTTTTGTTCAAGTGGTAGTCGTGGAGTCACGACCGAAGAAACGCAAGCAAACGCGAATGACTGACTGCGTTTAAATTTGATTGCTTTCATTTTTATTGCGCTAGCTCTCCCATGTAAAAATACATGCTGAACGGAACAAAAGGGCATGAGATATCATCACATGAAACTCACTACTCACGTAAATGCATGTAGGCGCTTGTTGACGGCGTGTCACTGACTGATCAAATAATTATGTTCGCTGTCAGAGCTATATGAACTTAATTTACGATTCAACTTCTGTGAACGTGTAATAGCATTTAATTCGCGGTAACGAGACTAGAATCACCATGATTCGGGGACACGTGCACGCAGCGCCACCTCTTGTCGGTCGCAGCAGTGGCTTGTCATAACTGAACGAGAAATAAGCGAAAAAGAATCATATCTGACGAAATAAACCATCTATCAAAAACGACTCTCGTTTTATACATGTGAGGTATATTTCAACAGCCTGGCAAAATTACAGTATCACATTACAAACCGCGCGACCGCTCCTGTAGTGCTTAATATTTAACAATGGGATCCAATGCATGTATTTCTATGGATGGTGTTCAATTGTCCTGGGAAGCCCCAAGCTTTAGTAGCGCGATACAGCGATTTCACCAAAATGTAGGAGGCGGTCTCTTCTACATAAAACCGGGAGTCATTTTCGATACCTAGCTTTATTCATGAGGTATGGTTTTTCTCACCTATATCCCATTCAGTTATGGCAGGCCGCCGTTCCTGTCGCCGAAAGACGGCACCACGTCCAGATGTCCCCAATTTCTGGGAATGAGGTGGACTTTTTTTCGAAGAAAGGTTTTGTCCACGCTGTGTGCACACGAGATGTCCCTTAATTCTAGCGCTACACGCTCCCTAATTCGAACAACTCTACGGACCCCTTCGAGTTCAAATTAACGACATTTTATTGCATGTAGTGATGAAAACTGCATACAAATTAAATAAGAGTAAGGCTTCGAAAGAATGCTTTATCAATTATTCGAAGTTTATTCAGCGTACACAATCGCGACTGTTTATGGTTAGTGGACAGTCGGGAAGCATCTGCGTTTATACGTGTTTAACAATAGCGTAGCGCGTGTTTGGGCTGTCTGATAAGTCAACCCCACAAGCCGAATGTTTGAGAGCACAGCTCGTTAGAGCACGCAAACTCGTAAAGACATTGAAAGGCTCTCGACTAGAAGCATGACCATGCGCCGGGGAGAAGAGGCCAACGTATATCTATGGTATGGTTAACCACCCTGCCTCTGTTGTCTGGCTTCCTCTCTCTCGAAAGAGTGGAACAGGAGTACTCGGAATGTTGGTACGCGGTGTAGCAATTAAAACTGCCAGCCGGTCTAAGAACTGACTAACGTCCATGTCTTTCCGCTTAAACTTTCTTCCTCCTCTTCCTCCAAAACTGCGCCCAACGTAATGCGCACGCGCACACGAATGAACACGAAACAAACCGACGAGGGCGAACATGCACACGGCCAGCGTGAAACATCGTGTGTATGCTGAGCAATGCTTTTAGAGAACCACAGATGTACGTGTTCCCACAGATCTAGAGGTCGGTAAACTTAGGACACAGCGAGAAGAGCCATGCAAATAACACTCTAAGCACACGACAGCATGCACTTAGAACTAGACTGCGGCAAAGCTGCATCGTTCCAAGCATATAAACAAATCGGTGCTTGAGTTGCATAAATGAGAATGGTCTCACTGTTTCACCAATTTTTTTTTCTAAAAGGAATGTAAAGAGAGGCCAATGAACCCGTGATGCGAGAACTCAGCGTTGATTTTGTCATATCTCATACACAAAAATGCGCTAGCCAGAAATAATTAACGGTCTCTTTTATATTAACAATTGTTTTTCAGGCGTCCTTCGTTCCCACACGAAGAGAAAGGACGAAAGGCATGCCATCTTTGTTTTTTTTTAATCATGGGAACCCGAGGAAAACATTTTGCGCTATCACATATCAGCAATGCGTGCACTGCATGCATGCAAACGTACTATGCACACGTTTGCTCCTCATTTATTTTCCTCCTAACTACCAGCGCAAGAATAAATATATACGGGCTATTCATTTCACTAAAAGCACGCGTAATTTGAGAAGACGTGAACGGTGAAGAGTTGCATACCCTAGCCTTACATGCAGGTATAACACTTGTCATTAAACGATTAAAGGCGTCCTATTTCAGCTGAAGTGACATGCACGCGTGATATATAGTTTACACCACACTTGCATCAGTTCTTTTTTCTCCTACTGCTAATCTTAATTTTTCTGTTCATTTTTTTACGCCGCCTTGCAGTCAGCACTCAAATATGCTGCCGCAAATTAACAGGCCTGCTACTAAAATGGAGCACGACAATTTTCTGCTAGATCATATTTTTGTTCACCTTACTGCATCATCATGAAGAAACGAAGGAAGCTAGTAAGTTTGTTCCTAAGGTCTGTAATTTCGAAAGTACCAACCATTATTGCAGCGTATCTGTACTCAACGCATCAACGCACGTTAAAATTTATATCAGAAACTACAAAAAATAATAAACTTGTCATAGTCACACGCAACACTCAATCAGGTGGGTTTTCAGTGATTGGGATAACAATCACCGAAAAACAGGTCTCTCTTCCTCTCGTATATCTATGATAACTTTTCTTAAACTAGGGAGCCAGAGACGATAAGACTTTGCTAACCTCAAGAAACATCAGCTACGATTCCATAAAAGCGGCGTTGTGTAGGCATAATCGAGATTGATTGCTCTGTGCCGGCGTTTGAAGACTTCGAATGATTTCATTCATTCATTTCATAAACGTAAGTAGACCATTTTTTCAGGGCGCGAATTCCGCTTTCTCTTCGGCGCGCTGCACCGGTGCTACATAAGCCGCCCGCTATTTGCGCAACGGCTAGACTGTGCCAACCACGACGCATCAATAAATGCGGCCCTGTCCTACGCCGCGGGGAAATGTAAACATTAATTCACGCTGAGTGCGCGCCTCTGTAAGGGACAGCAGCAGCCGCAGCTGAGGCGGCATTCCTGAAGTAGCCGAGAATCCGCGAGACCAGAACGAGACGACATAAGCTGTTCGCGACGGGAATTAAGCGAAATCCGGCGGCAGCACCGCAGAGGAGCTGCGGGACCATCTCGGCGGGTGACTCTAAACACTGACCTCCGTCTGAATGGCCGCGGACGAGCCGACGAAAAGGGTGGAGTGGCTCGAGCTCCGCGGGCGGTTTGTTTGCGTCGTCCACCTCCAGGCGGAATAAAGGAGGGCGCTGTGCTCTGTCTCGGCGCTTCTCAAGAGACGCGCGCTCATTTGCATAAACCGCGCGGTTATGAAGTCTCGGCGGAAAAGCACTACATTCCCGCCCCCCCCCTCCCTTCTTCTCCGCTTTTAATGCTGCCGCATCGCTCTAAGAAAATGCGCGCTGAAGCGAAGACCCGGCGCGCGCTCTCCGGCTTCGTTCTTAAGTGCGCTCCCCTCCTCGAGATTGTACGGAGATGACGTGACATCTTTCGTTATTAGTCATCTTCCCCCTTTGCTTCTTCCTTTTTAAGTTTGTCTTTGTTGTTTTTCAGTTCAGCACAGCACTTGACGAGTCCCGCGGGATGTAAATGGAAAGACGATGCGGATATTTCAGAGCTCTTCGAAGAACTGTCGTTTATTTTAGGCTACAACAATTTGTTTTTCTCGTTATCAGAGCACCCCACGAGTTCGCCATACTGTGTCTTTCTTGTACAGCTGACCTTTTTCTTTTTCTTTTCTTTGTATCCGCGAACCATCCCGCGTAGAAGCACATAGAGCATTGAAATAGATATGTCTTATAGGCGTGTGACAATCGCAGAACAAGCGCGGGACAAGAATAGCAATATTAGGACGACACTTCGTGACCAACAACTTTATAGTGGCAGAAGTCGGCTCTACAGTGTTGGTGTGGCTAAGTGATCAGCGCGCATGACGGACAAGATCGTGGCTGTCGCATTCCTGGCTATACGATAGAAGTCTTCTTATACTTTATTTTCACCGGCTTTGGTCTTACAATTTTTTTATCTCTCAACGCAATGAAAGTGATGAACGCATACGGCGCAAGTAAAAAAAAATAATACTGACCTTGCGTGATCCTTGCTGTACGCTTTACAGGCATTGGTCAATTGATGACTGAAATACAAAAAAAAGGGGGGGGGGGGGGTAACAAGTTACACAAAGCAAAAAAAGTGCAGGACGATGGATATTGGCGCAGATATGGCAGATACCGGCCCTACGGGCCACCGTGGGCGTCAGAATGACAGCTAAACAGGGCAGTCTTTACACGCGGTAAAATTGAAACCTCATACAGAGACACAGAGTACTGCAATAAGGTCAAATACGGATAGCAGGTGAGCACTAGCTTGGTATGTGTAGCTTGATTCTTTAGAATATCTGAGTTATATACATATACGAACGAATACAAGTGTTAAAAGCGCCAGGGACTGCACAAACTTCACAAACGGCACAAAAAAGCCGTAAGGGCTTCTGGCAGCACCGATTCACACTCACGTTTAAAAATGCACATATACACCTTATAAAGCGGACGTAGAGAAGGCCGCCACTTAGGCTTCGTAGGTAGAGCAGTAGACACTTTATCGAAAGAGCGCAGGTTCCGTACCTGCTAGCGGCAAATTATCTTTTCATTCACTTCGCTTTCTTTCCACTGACATCACAATTACTACTGATAACATCCCCTGTGCATTCATTGCCTTCATTGTGAATTACTTCTCGCTATTACTGTGTCTAACAAAGAAAAAGGGCCCTTGAATTTTCACTTCTTTCCTTCATAGAAGGAAGCACTATTCATATAAGATAGCTCGGCGATGGGGCTGGCGAGGTAGAGATTAAAGCGGTTTAAGAATCCGCACAATGCGACATTTAAGTATAGATGACTCAAAACAACACACGTGTGGGGCTTACTTAGGGCCGTCAAACTGCAACTCTACCAGTACGAGCAGCAGCACTATATGAGGAGAGACAAGCGTGCCGAGAGAGCTGAAATTGTATAAGATAAACCCAACGGGTCATCATCCAGGCGACGTTGCTTTCTGCTGGGTGAATTCACCATGAGCGTTACAGACGTTAGCCCGTATAATTTTTTTTTGTCAACAGGGCCTCATCGAGTGTGACGCCCACAGAGCGGCTTTATCCTCTCCCATAGTACATCACTCTAAATCGTTAACTTTTCCTAAACAAATGAAGGTCGACAACACGCACCCGCCTTTAAGAAAGACATTCAGAAGATTCGAAGAATTGTTATTGAATAAAAAAAATACGATACGCTGACAATACAGCAGAAAAAAACGAGCATACCAGATCAAGTTTACATTAGCGTTGAAATACGAGCTGAAAAAATGTGCGAAAACTCCGCCAACGTTTCATTCGCAAACTTTTCAGCGTTATAAGTGCGTCGATTAAACCCACACACTGCGCCGCAATTGCGCCAATAAAACCGCGAACAAATACAGTCCCTCTCCGCGCTACGGGTAGAGACCTCGCCAGTGGTCAACGCTGTCGTGATCCGCAACGTCTATACGAGACGTCCTGCTTTGTTACGCGCGACCGATCCGCAAATGTACACTGTGTTGACGGAGCTCTTGACTGATTTCAGCCGTGGACCTCATGCCCGCACAAAGGCATGGCTCTATCACTGTCCGGCAGGGCTGCAATCAACGGGGAGTCCCGCAATGGAACGTAAACATTCTCGACGAGGCAGTATAAGTGCACATATAGCGTTGCAAAATGCGGGTGACTGCCGAACGCAAGCGCACCACACGGAAGCACCGCACTTGTGAACCTATCATTTTGTCCGCAGAATCCGGATATGGCGGAACGATGTGGGTTCACTTGGGAAGCTATGGGTACTTAGTGGATGCGCAGTAAATGCTTGGGTACGCAGTAGCAACTGCATGAAGGAGAATCGGTGAAACATGGAACCAAGGAGAAACCTCGTGAGACGAAGGACAAAGCGTTAGCTTTCAATTGCGATTTATTTCATCACGGTCAGCTTGCTACCTTGAAACGTAAATCAATACCAATTAGCGAACCATGGTACCCCATGACGACAGGCTAGCACTTCTACGCGCCAATACAACCGTTTTCGTGCGTATGCGTCTACCGTATCATTGTTAATTTAGGATTTAAAGATATAAAATGCTTTGCACGGTTAACATCCCAACAAAGAATCACCAGAACCTAACGTAAATGACTATTTCAAGTAAAAATAGTAATTATGTGACATAGCTTTCGTTTTTTGCCGCGGACTATTGTTTTTACCCGCCACGGTGGTGTAGTAGTTAAGATGCTCGAATTCCGACTCGGAAGTTGCAAGATCAAATCCGGGCCTCGACGGCTGCCCTTTCGATGAATGAGGAAATGCTTAAGGCCCGCGTGCTTAGATTTAGGTGCCCATTAAGGAGTCCCAGGTGGTCGAAACTTTCAGAGCTCTTCACTACAATGCCTATCCTACTCGTTTTGGGACGTTAAATCACGATAATTATTATTAACGTTGTTTTCACGAGCTTGCCAATAAAGAATGGCACGTGAGCAAGCTCTCATGTCACATCTTGCGGAATACAGTTCCTATGCAATGCTAACGACGAATGATGGTAAACAGCACAAGTCACGAGGACGACGAACAAAACGAGCGCACTGCCCAACTAAGTTATCTCACTGAGTGACGGTTACACACAAACAAGCACAAGAAAACATTCGGCGGCGAAAGTTTTGTCGGACGCGGAAGTTAAACAAGAAAAAGTGTCGGGTTTTTTGGCTTTCATTACAAGTTTGTTTTCTTGCATGCAAGTCAACCGACTGGCCCAATTTTTAATAATTTTGGCACACAATGAAAAGTTCAACTGCAGACTATTGTTGCCTTCGTACGACAACCCCCAGAGACGTGTCGCCCGACAGAAGCAGAGCGTTAACGCCGGGGCATATTAATTTAAGTACACAATGAGCGAACAAGCCGAGCACTACAAGAGGCGAGGCATGCACTATAGCTGGGGCCATCTCTGTACTGTATGCGGTAAGTCATCGACCCCTCACTGTTTTTCATTGCGCCAGCAGTTATACGGACACTATTGGTTGATTTTCACCGTCGCCGTCAGCGTCATCCTCCACGATATGTATGTATACACAAAAAAAGGCATAAAAATAAATGAGATGAAAAAATAATCCTCGGCACCGGATCGGGGAATCAAATCACCGACTACGCGCTCCCGAGCACGCTGCATTAACTATTCAGCCACACGCAATTTAATAACAAAATAGAAAAATACTCAGCCCCACGTCATGCATGTGCCGGCATAATTGCGGCAAACTAAGTGTATAGATACACGCTCGACGCTGGCAGTATTCAGATCTCGGAGGAGCTTGAGCGTGTTTACTTCCACGCATTGCTCCGACATTTTTTATTTTAATTTTAAAACTGCTCTTGAGACGGGCACAAAAAAGGGACCCCTTTTTGTATCTATATACTCGTGATGACGACTAAAAAACGAAGACCGCGAACATTTGCATTAGACGCCACCACGTGGCAGCCCCACGGCGGTGGTCTAGTGGCTAGGGTACTCGGCTGCTGATTCGCAGGTCGCGGGATCGAATCCCGGCTGCGGTGGCTGCATTTTCGATGGAGACGAAACTAGTGTAGGCCCGTGTGCTCAGATTTGGGCGCACGTTAAAGAACCCCGGGTTGTCGAAATTTCCGGAGCCCTCCACTACGGCGTCCCTCATAATCATACGGTTTTTTCGGGACGTTAAACACCACATATCAATCGATCAACCACGTGGCAGGATACGCAGGGGTGTCATTCCGCGCGCTACACTTAAAAAAAAAAAGAAATGTCAAGGAGCATCAGGTTCTGCGCTGTCGACACTTGCAGCGCGTTGCTGAAAGATAACGGTGCAACAACTATATGATATTTGTTAGCTCACACTTGTCCGGTGAATGCCTGCGCGTCCTTTTGGAGCGTCCTCCTTTGTGCTTGAGAGGGAAGCTGCTAGTATCGAGCTGCTTGGCGATATTCCTGTGATATTCTCTACCCTCCCCCTCCCTTTTTGTTTGCTGTCGCATTCATTGTTTCGCCCTTGCGGCGAAGCTGATTCTTCAATATGCGAGTAACACGAGCCCCTATTCCCACGTGTCCCGCATGAATGAACAAAAAAGCACACCTTACTTTATTTGTTCGTGTTACACCACGTATATTCAAAGAGCAAAAACATTTTTGTTTTCTTAACATCGATGCGAAACAGAAGCAGCCACGCAGAGCAAGGATGCTGTATGCGGCGCTTTAATGCGTAATGACTCGTATTAAAAAAAAAAAAAACATTAAGTGCGGAACTTTTCAGCCTTCTTTCTTTCTCTTCCGCTTTGTCTTTCAGTCTCTCTATCTGTTTTTCTCTTTTCCAGATGTTTTTCTGTTTTTATTTATAATTTTTTCTGTTTCTTTTCTTTCTCTCCCTTTACCTCACTTTCGTCCTTTATTTCGTACTTTAACATGTGGTATTGCCGGCGCTATGCCAAGCCGCGACAGTATACGATAAAACGTACACTGAATGTGCTCCACACATCATATCATCAATCCACTCAAAGAACCAGAGGAAGAACACCTGCTGGGCGCGAGCACGAGATGAGTATGCTACAGATAGTTTTACTAGCCTTACGCCGGCCATAAATGAGACCACGACAGCAGCAATACAACTGTCCAGACCTCTAAAGTGCTCGCAACAATCTTTACGGCCCTGGCTGTGCCGATTGACACTGATTGATAAATGAAAGCAAAACTGCTCATTCTTAGGCGAATATTTCTTCAATTATCTTCACCGTGACTGATATCAAAATTAAGACATGTTTGCGGATCTGGGGACCACAAAGCGGAAAAAGCGTGACTGAAGTATCGGGTGAAGCCGAGGCGCGTAAGCTGAGGCGGGTAAGCGCCATTTCCGGCAAGACGTCGATGATTGATTGATTTGATTGATTTGTGGGGTTTAACGCCACCAAACCACCATTTGATTATGAGAGACGCCGTAGTGGAGGGCTCTGGAAATTTCGGGCAAGCTCTTTTGATGAGTATCACCTTGACAAATAGTACGTTGGTTCCCATTTTGTGTACTCTAGCGAGCAGTAGAAA